GAAGGACCCAACTTCAATCAATTGGATCTGATAAAGTACATAGTCTGCATTTTTTATCTCACAAGAAAGAAGAGTTATATTAATTGTCATAGCGTGTTGAAAGAAATTTTACTTCCAGATCAGTTTTCTGTTCCGAAAACATTAAAAAAAACTCCATAAATAGTAGCTTAAAACCTTGTAAAACAATTAGGATATAACTAGAAACTTTTGCTAGTGAATAATAGCTAGTGGTAATTCATTTTGTTGGAGTTAACCTTACAGTGATGTAACATGTGGTTTGCAGTTTTCAAGCTCATTTTACAAAACATCTCTCAGTATGGTCATTTTCCCGGTATCTATAAGAGTAATAACATTTACCAGTAACATTTAACAGTAATGTTAAGAGCGTTCTGCTCTACGGCTGCGAAATCTGGCTTACCACCAACAATCTGTTCCATAAACTGCAAACTTTTATAAACAAATGCCTTAGGAGAATTCTGAAAATTTGATGGCCCCTCACTATTAGAAATGCCGAAAAGGCAAGGAAATCAAAAAGCGTAAATGGCAATGTATCGGGCACACTTTGAGGAAGGCACCAAATGAAATCTGCAAACAAGCATTAACATGGAATCTTCAAGAAAGCAAAGACCTGGTAGGTTCAAGCAAACTTGGAAGCGAACACTAGAGAAAGAAATCCAAGCAAGCGGAAAAACCTTTGGAGAAATGAAAACCCTTGCAAAAAATCGTGATAGTTGGAAAAAGTTCGTTTTGGCACAATGTTACCCTGGAAACGTACCGGAATGAATAATAAATAAGAGTAATATATATAATGTATATTCGGTTGTTACTTTCAACTACCCTGACTTCAATTGTGCTTCAACTTCCATATACATACCTGCATGTGGTTGATGCACTCATTAAAACAGAGGTACTGAGATTTAAATTTGGATATAGTTGCCATGTGATTAGATTGGTTTAGATTGTTTTAGGTTACTAGATGAAGTTTTTTAAGTTTAGATTCTTTCACAAAATTTGACTGTTAAGCAACCAAAACAAACCTCAACCGTAAAAATGTTTTGCGATATAAATTGCAACAATTGTGTATTTTACTATGTATTTTATATTTTAAATTCTATAATTATCTATGAAGACATGTTAAGATATATCAATTAGATATATTGCATTCACACTTAAGGTAAGAAGCTGAATCACTGGACATTCTAACATTTTTTTGTTCTGATGAGTAAATCAAATCCTGTATAAATTTATCGTTTAAAATTGTAAATAAATTATGTGCTTTGATAAGCGACATTGTTGACATATGTACGTACACATAGTCTATATCATTTTTAGTGCGTAATTGAATTAAAAACTGAACAATCATTTTATTAATGCGATAACAACGAAAATAATTGCTACACGCGATTACACATCATAGCTACGCTCATTCATAAATACTCGTAAAGAAGGTGTACTCAAAGGGTTACAATAACTATATTATGAATTTATGTAAAATAATTTAAATTACTATTGATTGTTGCTAAAATTAATTTCTTGATAAATAATAAACCTGTGTAGAATGTAATACCTATACAAATAATAACGACATAAAAAACTTCAGCTGCAGTGTTGCCCTCGATCCCGCCGCTGTTATCAAATATACTTCGGCAATGACATTGCAAAATAGTTTCTATTATTACGTATTTTTCTGAAACCTTTGTGAGCATATGTAAAACCAAGCCAAAATTTTTATAATGATAACGATATACAGGGTTTTTCCTAGCTGAAGAAAAAAAAAAACAAAATAGAATTGTATGAGAGAAAGGGTCGATATGAAAATAATACTAAAAATATAATACTTAAGAACTAGATGAGTTCTATTTTTCATTAGTTTAACTTTTCTTGTTCTATTACCTCATTGTTTGCAATATAAACGTACATATAATATACTTGAGGTGGTAGCTAATGGATTTAAAGAAAAGTACCCAACAACCTAAACTTTGATTTTATCTTCTGAAATTGGATACTTTTATTTTTTCTTCACACTATCTAAACAATTGCTTAAGACGTACATAGTAAGTAAATTATATGTATTGAAAGTAGTATCAGGCTAGTTTCTTATTCATCTTCTCTTCTTCTTGTACATTAAATCAAAGTCAATGCTTTTAGTATAGACTATACACATACACTTTTAGTTCTAGAAAAATATTATTAATATAACTATTTACGCCTATGGATATAGCCACCAGCGAATTATAAAGCGCAGTGAAGTGTTAGTGCTTCATAAAGGCCAAATTGTGCGTTAGCCATACTAGATGGAGATATAGACATATATGTGTTTAAAATGTTATAAAGTTCAAGGACTGATGAAATTTAAAATAAGGACCGTTTCCTTAGTTAATTAAATACAGTGGAATGATAATTTTTTTGCTCTTCTGATTTCATGTCAAAAGAAATTATTTATGTCTGAAGATCCGCCCTTTCCCCACACAATTCCAGAAATTCTTATTCTGGCTGTGCCTGTATCCAACCTTACAAAATCAAAATATTAATTTTATTAAATTGTGCATTTTAAGAATTCTCGTAATTATATTTTTTTGAAATTTTTTAATTGCTATCCTTAAAAAAATTTTTTTGTTATGATGGACGACACATTTGTCACGTGGTAAAAGACATGTCGCAACCCTATAAATCTTTTTCATCAACATAAAATTTTCATTCAATTTATGAATGCACATTCAGTCTCTCAGTTTTAGAGATAATTTACAATTAAATTGGTTATTTGAAGATTGGTAGACATGTAAACTTATTTACAAATTTATACAAATTCTTAAATACTCATATATAGTTCGATGCTGTGTTATTTTAAAACTGATAAAAATTAAAATAATATTTTATATAGTGAAACTAATTTTATAATCCATTTTCAGATATTTAAATCATTATCAGAAGTGGCTACCATCATTTCACTATTATATGTGTGAAGTAAAAATTCATTTAGTTCAGCTCTTGGGAAAAGATCCAAAAGAATTGATGGTATTATCCGAAGAACACCTCAATATGAAAATAACATATTCAAAAGAACTTATTAACCTATATGAAATACTTGCTCCCTGTAAGTCACACATACTTTTTAATTAAATATAGTCATGATTACTTTTGTGAATATTTTAGGTGAAGTAAGACTTCTTGGTACCTTATGTTTTGAACTTCATTCTGCTATTGCTGAACAGACTAGACGGATCTCCTCGCAAATGAACACAACACCAAAAGCATTATTGGAAGAATCCCTACATTACGTTGAGAAATGTGTAAATTATTTGCAGTATGAATCAAATATATTTATTGAAGGCCACATATTGCAACAGGCAAGAATCAATAGAGATGCCTTAAATATGGTCTTAAAACTATGAAATGTTATATATAATAAAAATGAATAAACATGTTTGAAACTATATATAAATGTGTGTAAATATATATTGTCTAGTTTTAATTTTTTGCGAAATTCTTCTTATATAGATTATACATAAAAAGTTTGAAAAGATCTAATCAATAGAGATGGCTTAAATATGGTCTTAAAACTATGAATGTTAAATATAATAAAAATGAATAAACATGTTTGAAACTATATATAAATGTGTGTAAATATATATATTGTCTAGTTTTAATTTTTTGCGAAATTCTTCATATATAGATTATATATAAAAATTTGGAGTATTTATCTTGAGTTTCACTCGCACATGTCCACGCTCAAACGCTTAGGAATAATAGTATATAAAATAAAGCACATACTCGTACTCGTAAACGTTTTCTGCTTTTATCGTTGATATATAGAAAAGGTTATTGATAGCTTATCAGTTAATGCCAACAAATTATAATAGGCAAATAAATAGTAAACGTTGTTTATATATAAATATTAAAAAATTTAGTTACCAATTTTAGTCAGTTCAGTTTGTGCGGTTTGTCAACTTGATTATAACTTGAATAATACTTCTAGATTCACGGTGGTTAATTCATAATTTTTGGGCACCATTATGGGCTCCTCAAACGAAGTGGAGGATAAGGAAAGTTCCTTTTATAAAGCGAATATTATGTTTGAAAATACAAATAACAAAAATGCCGAAAAATCTAAATTTTCGTAAGTTCAAATTATGTGAAATGATTTCAACTTAATTATATACAATATTTTTATATACTTTTTATAAGTTTTACAATCGAATAAAATGTGACTTAAAAACAACAAATTGTTTTGAAATTAGCAATATTTATTAATTGAATAGTAAAGTGCGAATTATGATTAACAAACTGGGAATGAGTTGACATTTTTTCAACTCTGATTATTTTTGATGGATATAATCTTTTATTACATTTTATTATTTTTTTCAAATGAAATCACACTGTATTGAATGGCCGCGGCTAGATCCTAAATACAAAAAAAAAAAAGCTAATAACATAAAATATTTAATTAAAGCAGATTCTTTTCACGTGATAAGAAAAACGATTCCAGTAAAGAAGGCTCAAAGGAAGAAGACAATGATGATAATAAAAAGAAGGACGATATCAAACCTGTGGCATTTTTCCAAATGTTTAAATATGCTACAGGAAAAAATCGCTTAATGTACTGCATCGGAATTCTATGTTCTATAGCCACAGGACTAACTACTCCCGCAAACAGTTTGATTTTTGGAAACTTAGCTAATGTAAGTGACAATTAAGCAACCTTCTGTATAAATTAAAAGAAAACGAGATAATACATAAATACCTTACTTTAAAAATTATTTATTTATTGTATATTTTACAATAATAATCAAGAAATTGATTTTTTAAAGATGTTTTTCGAAAAGTAGTACACTACAACAACAAAAATTATTTTTATATTATTTTAATTAATTGAATTTTGTTTCGAGTATTGCCAAATGCCCATCATCAGTGGTCTTTAGAAATATTTTTTATATTTAATTATTCGTAAATAATTTTTTAAAACTGCAAGTACCAGGAATTGAATTCGTGCCCTGCCAAATTTGAAGCTTAGAGTTAGCGCACCTTAACCAACTGACTCAAAACCATTCTTGACTTTTATGTTTACACAATTTTTCTGGAGTTTTGTTAATTTGCTGTGAAAGTTTTAACAAATTAACTTGCTGTGTTTATATTAGAACGGAACCAACTGTAGAATAATTGAATTAATTAATCATATTTTTATTTTTATTTGCTAAATTTCGATATTATTATTTTTGCATGATTTATGTGATTTTTAATAATTTTTTAAACAAAAGTTAACATCAAACTTTTCCAACATTCTTGAATCCAGAGTATAACAGATAATTTTACTTTAAAATGTAGTGATCGGTATTTGGATAGATAGCGATATAGATGGATATATATTTATTTAACATAACATTAATAAGATTAGATTAATTTATAGTAACAATACAAACTATACTTAACACAATCACAGCTGTGCTTCACAATCCACACCTTTTGGATTATATATAAATCGTGGTTAACTAATCAGGGAACTGAAATTCATTTAAAATGTTATTAGCATAATACGAGTATTAATATTGTATTTTTAGTTTCTTATTTTTATTACTTACATTAGTGCGTTGTAGATTGCTATTGAAAAAAATCAATATTTATGTATTTGGCTTTGTTCACGTGACACTTTTTAGGTTTACTTATATCAAAAGACTGTACTTAATCATTTTTAAAATTAAAACACGTTATATCAGTACCTGTAATTGTAGCGTTCAGTGCTGAAAATATTAATCAATAGACGATTTATATTCTATCCTAGTATCTTTATCTTGCTTTATTTTACTATAATTTTACTATAATACTATAATTTCTCAAATACCTACTATATAGAATAAGTACTGTAACTACTTATACTCCTCTGAACATATGAGGTATATATGGTATATGAGGTGCAATAAACTCTTTGCTATTTTACCTTATAATTATTTATAGTCTAAATAAAAGTATTAACTGTTAAAAATATTATCTATTCAACTTTCTCGAACTTAATAAACTTTTAAAATTGCAAATTTAAAAAAATTATATTTTCATCAATAAACTGACAAAGTACTTTTGCGGAAAAAAGAAATGATGATGTTATATATTTCATTTATTGTGTAATTTTATACAACGTTAACGAATTAAAATTTAGATGTACTAATTATCTTTATTGTTTTAAAGTTTTGTATAAATTATAAAAAAATCAATTAACCCTTATCAAAAAAATGATGTAGATAATTATATTATGTTATTATGTATTGTAGATTGTTTTCACCATTTTAAATTAGGGTTGGATAATATGCACGCCGTTAAATTACAATACTACTGCGATATTAAATTGCAATAGTTGCATTATTTATATTAAGATTATATATAAATTGTATTAAGTGGGGAAATTTTTTTTATAATCTTGAATCTTGCACGTTTAAACTAATACCAGCTTAACTTCACCAGGTTGTTAATAGAATTAAAGAAAATTGGTTACAGGTCAATTATATTATAGTAACTAGTAAATATCTTTCAAATTTCTATACCGTTATGCACAACTGTCTTAATAGTCTAGACCATGGATGTCCAAAGCATGTCCCACGGGCATCATGCGACCAGCGGCTTATATTTGTGCGGTGAGCGACATGTTTTCAATCTACCACATTAGGCAATTTTTTCTTTGTTATATTTTGATATTTATTTTGATGGTAATCCCAAATAAATTAATTAAAATATTTTATATAATTTATTACACTTCACGTGAATTTACTTAATTGACAAAGACTTAAGTATATTTTTATTTGCACAATGGTTCGAATACACGTGTCCAGAACCGCAAGTCATTACTAATATCAATAGTAATGATATTGATAGAATTGTAAAAGATAAATTAATGAAGAGTTAAAAATATTATATTTTTGATTATCACCGAATTTTTCATTTTTTCCGGAAAAATTTTAAACGTATGTATTTATTTTTGCGGCCCTCCAGTCTATTGAGAGATTTGTATTGGCCCGCGATCTTATCTGGTCTAGACAGCCCTGGTCTAGAGAAATGGTAAGGAACTGCGGTTGATCCAAATAAAATATAACACAAGTAAATGCTGTCCATCTATTGTTTTTTCAACTTCCAGAGTGAATCTGGTTTTAATCTTAAACATAAAAGTATCTAACGGAACCGTCTGCGCTAACTTCTTATCGCTGTAATTAGACCTATTGCTGTACAAAATTACTTATTGTAATTATAAATTATAAATTATTGTAATTATTGTAATTCTCAAAATACGTGAGATTATTGCTCTAATTCATTTAAACTATTAAGACCTTTGAAGTTTGTTTTAAATATATATTTCAATACGTAAAGTTGTTTTACTTCGAATATAATATGACATATGTTTACAATAGGATAAAGAGTAAAATTTTTCAAGATATTAAATTTGTTTAAGTTTTAGTTAAAGAGGCTTAGTATTCAGAAGTGTAGGTTTATCTAAGCCACTAGGCATGGAAGAGGTGGAGGAGAATGGGTGGTATGTGAAGGTAATGGGACACTGACCCCTATACGATTAAGTAATTTTTCTATTCGTGCATTTATACTACACTATACTGAAAACTGTACGTTTAAACAACTTACGATTGTCCAACGATTGCACCATTCAAATGTGAAGATTTAGGTTCTAACCGAAAAGTGTAAGTTTCCTGAAAGCTATTTTAACTTAAATTGTCTACATGCGCGTTTATTTTTAAACATATAGATATAAATGGACCCTCTAATTTCCTGAACGGTAGTTGAATGTTGATTTTATGAAAGTGCATTTAACTTTTCAAATACATATATACCAGAGCTCTAAACAGCGCTTTAACTCTTTAGCATGGGTTTAACATCTATGGGGATCCCGTTTATTTATTTAAGAAATTCAGGAAATATTTTTAATCCGACCTTCAAATTTATGTGTCTTTATATATTAATTAACAGAAACCTGTAAAAAATATTTATAAAATCTGACTATCTATTAATGAACGTTTAATAATAATAAAAAAATATATATATTTATTGAGAGAAATTCATTAATTTTAATTTTTACTTCAAAGTATTAATTTGAAATTGCGTAAACATTACAAAAAATGTGTTAATATTAATATATTTATATATTTATTATATTTATTTTTATACTTAATTTATACTTAATATATTTGCTTTTTCATATATACAGTCTATGATTTACTTTGGAGAGTCCGTTATTGGCTACACTAGAAGTGCTGAGTCGGATGCTCTTTTGGATGCTGTGCAGGAATTCGCTCTTCAGAATACTATGATCGGAGTAGTTATGTTAGTGTGCAGTTACTTAGCAGTTACGTTCTTTAATTATTCTGCTCATGCGCAAATTTTACGCATCCGGGGAAAGTTTTTAAAATCAATACTTCATCAAGATATGGAATGGTAC